TGAACTATAATTATGCAGAGAGGGTTGGATTTAAGAGATGGATGAATGAGAACCAAATCCCAGAATTGATTGATAATTATGCCACCAATTTTTACGAGACCATCTCACAGAACATCGATTCTTTGGCGGCGCATTACAATGTGACGGAGGTTGTGGACAGCGTGAGGCATTATTTGAGCACTAATCACGACCATAATCCCATGTCGCAGAGTAATAAATCGGAGGCCGTCGATGTTTCGAGTATTAGCAGGAATGGTGATTATCTTAATCATCAGCATGAACAAATGATTAGCAACAATAATGTTCATGTTCAGCCTAATTTGTCGGACAAGTTGCATAGCATCCAATCGAGGGTGAAGAACAGAGAATGGGGAGTGATTTATAAGGATATTGACGGCGTGTTTAGAGAATTCAGGGCTTTGATTGCCAGGGAAGATTTAGCTGAGAAAACCAAAGCATTTTTATTACAGGGTCTGGACGTCTCAAGAAGGGTACTTGCTAGTGGTACCATGGTTTTGGCGGGAGGTGCAAATTTGTTGTTCTTCATGGCAGTCTCTCTGGTTTCAGGAGCCGCTGGATTGTTCAATTTCTTCTTCGAATTGACGGTGTTCTTCTGGCTCTTGTACTACCTGATCACCACTGATTCCGGCGGCGTTATGGATCATGTCCTGGGGATGCTGCCGCTTTCAAAATCCACGAGGGTTCGATGCGCCCAAGTGCTTGATCATGCTGTGAGCAGTGTGCTGTTGGCTGCTGCTAAGGTCACATTCTTTCAAGGGTGTCTCACATATCTCTTGTTCAGATTCTACCGCATCCATTTCCTCTACATGTCTACCTCCCTTGCCCTAATGAGTGCCGTTTTGCAAATAACGCCGGCTTGGCTTCTGTCGATCCCCGCGGCGCTGCAACTTGCCATGGAAGCAAGATATATAGATGCCATTTTGTTGACGGCAATTCATCAGATACTGTTGGAGTATGGGACAACTGCCATCCAAGATGAGATCCCGGGACAGAATGCCTACCTCACTGGCCTTAGCATACTTGGTGGCATTGCTCTTTTCCCATCCATGTTGGAAGTAAACTTTCCTCTTTCCAGACCTTTAATTATTAATTATGATATTGCAATTTGCATGCACATTATTCTCAGTTAAAGTTAAATTAATGGAGTTTGAATTGCCTTATTGTTTTTGTAATTACAGGGAGCGATTATGGGTCCTTTGCTGATGACAGTGATGATTGCCTTCAAAAATCTATATGTAGAATTCGTCCTTGCTTCTGGAACTAGAGAGGAAACCAGTGCCCATTCATACAACTAAGTTTTCTTTTTTCTTCTTAAAAAATTGTTACAAGGAGAATAATATACATAACCTACCTAGAGACTAGAGTCATACAATTGTCCTCCTTGTTAGAAGGAGAAATATATAGCCAAAGTTTTGAACACACAAAAAATATACATGCCCCTGCTACGGATAGATTACTCTGGTCATGTGTGTTCGTACTCTCCTCTCCGAAAAGCTAGATGCACCGAAACTTGTTCGCTGTGCAACGCCCCAACTCACTGAAATCTCAATCTCAAACGTACATGTCATGTCACCACCACATTGCACCCACCATACCCAAGTAATTTTAATTTTGTCAATTTTATCTCTGATTAATTAGGGCTTGTTGGTCTGATTCTCATGGGCACCATCATTGGGCTTATTGTAAGTTGTAACCACCCCTCTTTTTATCATCTACAGCCCTGTTTCGGAATGCCCTATAATGTAATGAATATGCTTAATCCACAAGAAAAATGGATAAGACCCGACCCGAATAAAGCATTAAAGACTAGATCGTTTTGAGAGAGAGAGAGAGAGAGAGAAGAACGTTAGAAAACTAAGAATCACAGGCTCATCCATTACGTAGCTTCGCCCAAAGATCTTCAGGTTAATTTCTGAACTTTTGGCTCTTTGTATCGATTGGCCTTCTCGTCCCTCGTTCTTTGAGTTTCTAGCTATGGCTTACAGTTTTTTCTTTTTCTTCAGGATAATTATAACGCTAAAGGGTTTTGGCGAACAAGACAATTGGTAAGGTGCAGTGCATATTATATTTGTTACCATTTCTTGAATTTTCTCGTTTGTCTAAAATTTTCGGCCAATTTTTGTTATGCGGTAGGTCATAATTTGCATGGTCCATCGCTCTTGGTTTATGAGAAATTGCATATTTGATTTGATGTATTGTCATAGATTACTCCAGTCATGTTTGTCTGTACTCTCCTCTTCGAAAAGCTAGACGCACCGAAACTTGTTTGCCATGCAACGCCCCAACTCACCGAAATCTCAAATGTACATGTCATGTCATCTCCACATTGCTGAGTTCTTGGCTTATTTCCAAAGTATTGGGCTAACTTTTGGGCCGATTTCTGGGCCCTTTTTAGATTATTGGGCCAACTTATGGGCCTTTTTTGCATTATTGGGCCAACATCTGGACCTATTTCCAAATCAATAGGCCTACTACTTTGGGCTAATTTTTTTCGTTATAAGCAAACTTATGGGCCCCTTTAATATTTTTGGGCCAAATTTGGGCATGTTTTCTCGTTATTGGGTCGACTGTTGGTCCTGTTTCAATTTTTGGGCCAACTTATGGGCCCATTTAACGTAATTAGGTGGGAGCTTCTATAATGAGGGTTTATAGTGAGGAGGCTATTTGAGGAGGCCCATCTCACCATCAAAAGGGGTGTGGACCCCCCAATGTACTTTGTTTTTAATTGTTGATGGTGAGATTTCACCTCCTCAAATAACCTCCTCACTCAACCTCCTCATTCTAGCCTCTCCATAATTAGGTTGAGTTCTGGGCCTGTTTCCAAATTACTGGGCCGACTTTTAGGCCTGTTTTCACGTTGTTGGGCCAATTCCTGGGCCTCTTTTAGATTATTGGCCAACTTCTGAGCCCTTTTTGCATTATTGGGCTGACATATGGGTTTGTTTCCAAATCAACGGGCCGACTTTTGAGCCTGTTTTCACGTTACTGGGCCATTTTTTGGGCCTCTTTCAGTTTATTGGGCCAACTTTTGGTTTGTTTTTTTTCATTGGTTTCCTATATAAATTATCTCAAAACTACATCCAAAGTGATGCATTGATGGTCATAGAATAGTTGATTTTTTTCAGTAGGGCCTTCTCTTTGCTATTGGGCCATAATTGGAAAGTTTTGATAGTCACCCTCATTACTATTTATGGGTCCGAAACATCCGGCACAATCCATTCAATTTTTGTACCAATTAATTGCATCAGATCAAAACCTATGATATTCTCCATAAATTTCGTCTCAGACTAATAATCCAAAAATATGATTTCGGGTCCATTGTAAATATTTGGGCCCACTAATCCATCATTCCTGACAGCCCAATAATAAATTATTGGGCCGACGTTTCTTGGTCGTTTTCACATGTTGGGCTGACTTTGCGCCTGTTTTCTCATTATGAGGTCGACTTGTGGGCTTATTTCAAATTATTGGGTCAACCTCTGGGCCATTTGGCTCGAGTTCTGGGCCTATTTCCAGAGTATTTGGTCGACTTTTGGGCCCTTTTTGCCTTATTGGGCCGACATTTGGGGCTGTTTCCAAATTACAGGGCCGAGTTTGGGCCTGTCTCGTTATAAGGCTGACGTATGGGCCCTTTTAACAATTTTGGGCCTGTTTTCTCGTTATTTGGCCAACTTCTGGTCCTGTTTCAATTTATTGGGCCAACTTATGGGCCCCTTTTAACATTATTGGGTCGAGTTCTAGGCCTGTTTCCAATTTACTACGCCAACTTTTAAGCCCGTTTTCACATTATTGGGCCAATTCCTTGGCCTCTATTAGATTATTGGCCAACTTCTGAGCCCTTTTTACGTTATTGGGCCTACATCTGTGCCTGTTTCCAAATCAATGGGCCGACTTTTGAGCCTGTTTTCACATTACTAGGCCATTTTCTAGACCTTTTTCAGTTTATTGGGCCAACTTTTGGGCCTGTTTCCAAAATAATGGGCTGATTTTGTGCATTTTTCCAAATTACCAGGCCTATTTGGGGCATTCTTTCACATTATTGGGTGAACTTCAGGGCCACTAAATTAAGAAAGCATGCCAAAAAAATTCGGGCTCCCCATGATTCGGTTCAATAATTTAATTTCTGGGTTTTTTGGTTGAATACCTACGTTTTTCAAGCACACATCGTTTCTAGCCCAATAATGATATTTTGATTTCAGCAATTTGGAGCCCAAGCACAATTGTATCAGTTTCGAATTGTAGCCATTTTGTGCTACCAGATGTTTTTGTTAGGCCTTACGTTTCCTTTATGCATGTCTTAGTCTTTCCCTATTGTTCATGTTTATCCAATAGGGAAAACATTTTTCAGGCCCTATTCAGCATTTATACTATAATTTACGCCCACTTTTTTGTGCCAGCTACAGTGAATCAGAGATTAAAAAGTATTAATAAAAAATAAAAAATAAAAAACAGAGTCCGATGGATATCCGTTCGGTCGAGATTTCTCAACTGCCCCATCAGCGAGGTTATCCAACCAGACATCTAAATCCAATCTGAATTGCAATTGATAGCATCAGAAGCTGAACCAAAAAATTGAATCAACCAGGTCAAGAAAATATTACATACCAGATCAACAAATATTGTAGCCGTCACTAGCTCCAGCTATTGTGATGGTCAAAGAATAGTCGTTCAAGGGCAGGGTATTCAATATGAAATATGAATGGTTGGGACTCCCGTATTGTGCATCTAAGCAACCATTCAAATTCAAGTTGAATTGACTTCCCTGGAACAACTAAAAACTTGGACACGATAATTATGGAGCTAATGACGAAATGATATTTATTGACCTGATTGATGAGACTACAAATATATATTAGAAGAACCATGATGGCAAAAGTTCCAGAATATAAACGGTTACAATGAATGAAGGATTATCTCAAACAGCTGACATGACCTGGATTGAAAATGTAAAGACGTGGGTCATGATACTGGAAGGCCAAGGTAAATAGAGTATTCACAGAAAGAGGGAGGGAGGGAGAAGGCAGAGAGAGAGAGCACAAAAGCAAAGATTGACAGATATCAAGAAAGGTAATTACAAGAGAACAGAGAAGAAAAACAGGAAGTCCAGCATATGGATAATTGTTATGAAAGATGATGTAGAACTAGTCACACAAAATTAGATACATGAAATTCACCACAAGAGCAAAAGGCATCCACTAAGGCAAGTAATGCCAAGGTAAACAATAGGATAAGGAAAAGAACAGACATCAGAACTCAAGAAACAATATAACCACCCACCCTCAATACTGACAGTTCAACTTTCTAAAGGAAATTACTGTAATGCATTGTTTACCAATAATTCTTCACTAATACATTGCAGACAGGGTTCACAGCTGCACACTCATCGAAATTGAATAAGAATGATAAACAGACAACTGGAAACTGGAGTATGCCCAGAAAAACAAAGATGCTTTGAAAATAATTCTAACGTGAGTACCTGTAAAGTAACAGGGATCAGTGCCACCAATCAATGCAATTGCAGAAGGAACCTTGCCCCAGCTGAAAAGTAATCATCATCATTTTAAGTTTTTGCATAAAAATGCAAAATTTTCACCCAATAATAATATTTATCAATAAAAAGAACTTTACAGAAACTAGATGACAACACAATTCAGTCCTCACATTACATGTGTGTGTACATACTAAAATACGATGGAAGTTATCACAATAATTGGATCCCAGGGGAGAAACATGGATGACGACTACTATAAGCATACATCAATGTGACTAATAAACTTCGTAAACTAGTAATTAGGGGATCTTTTGGAATTGATATCTACCAACTCTGATACAGAAGAGAAACTTCCATATCCCTTGTCGTATAACTCTCTCTATCTCTATCATCACATGATTAGTCATATGATGAGAGAGAGGGGTATACAATCATGGATAGTTAAGCTATTGCCCTAATACAGGATTCAAAATATATAAGTAGCTAATATTAAATTTTGAATAACTTTAGGATCTATAACATCTTATTTACTCTGTGCCACCTACATATAGAAGAAAGACCTAGAGACAAAAATAGCATTAGACTGCAAACAAAGGCTTGGAGTAATCCTAGGAACAGCAGAGGGTTTTGAGTACCTCCAAGAAGACTGTCATGTGAGGATCAGTCCTTTCTACTAATGAGTAAGTTCAACATTTTATTGCAGTTTCTCCACCATCAGGCAAGGCTCCCTGCTCAGAAGCATACATTATAGGATATCAAACGTACAATAGATATTACAAAATAAAATCTAGAAAATGAAAGTACTCCAGTACTGCCAGCTGCAGGGCGTATGTACCTTACATAACTCACTGTATCCTCCTCAACCAAGCTTCTTAGCTTTCATTGAAGCACCCAATCGCTTTCAAAAGTGTTGAGTACTTCAACTGCAAGAATTGCGAGCATCGATATCCTTCAGTAAACATACAAAACTGATATTTATAAGTATTAATTCACTGTAAATTCAACAATACTTAACACTGGAAGGAAACCCTAAAAGTACCTCGTCTTTAATGTTAAACCACACATCCAACAGTAAATTTGAAGTAAAACATTTGTCTAATTTGATATCATGTTTTAAATTAGTCAAAATATTATAATAGAAAAAACCATTAACAATCACAATATGCCTATAATTTGATTGGGGCTTTAGCCTCTTCCTTTTCTTCAAACAGACATGAACAAATATGTTGCTACTAGCTAAACAGAGAGGCTTTCTTGCTACCCCTAAGAGCACATAATATTATGAAAATAAAATTAAAAAAATTCGAGTTCTCAATATTAATGTAGAAGTATAGTAAGGGTTTCTGAACTGAAAAAAAAGTGTTTCTTCTTTAAGGCAATGCTCTAGGGTTTGGTAAACCATTGTGTTGTCCACCGTCAACCTCGCACTCACTTTAGGGTTTGAGGTCAGCAATTTTCGAGTCAGAAAGCAACTTGAGGATCATAAAGCAACCACATATCTAAACAAGCAGAAAGAAATACATTAAAGCAAGCAAGAGGGGAGCCAAAAATTGAATAGACTAAATCAGAGGGTCAGGTGTCTATACCTGACTTCAAATGGGTTCAGGTGCATTTCACATAGAGGCTTAACATTCAATTGGTTTATTAAACCACCTAAGCTTAGGCCTTTATGCACTTCAAATCTGTGAAACATCCTCCATGCATATCATGTTGCTGGAAATCAACATCAGGAACATAACTTTCCTCTCTCATTTTCACCTCTAATGTTCCTAGCAATCCAAAGATCTGATCAGAATCTTGGTGACGTCTATCTCCAGCTACAAAACTATGGATGTCACCCCTGGCCTCAACGACACTCTGCCCGGACATCTTATTTAACCCCTTCTCCCTTATCAAAGTTCTAAGATCCGCCACATGTTCCCATTTATTGTCCATGGCATATATATTTGAGAGCAGTATGTAATATCCTGCATGATTAGGATCTAACAGAAAAAGACTCTTTGCTGCAGCCTCTCCAAGCTTGGTATCGTTATGAATCCGGCACGCACCAAGCAAGGCTCCCCAAACATGGGGCGCAGATGCGTTTGGCATACACTCAACAATTTCCATGGCCTTGTCCAGCTCTCCTGTGCGGCCAAGAAGATCAACTATTATTCCGTAGTGCTCAGGTCCAGGCTTCAGTTGGTATTCACGCACCATCATATTGAATATCTCGATTCCTTCTTCAACCAAACCTGAATGACTACAAGCAGATAAAACAGAGAGAAATGTTACATCATTGGGCTTAACAGCTGAGTGCTTAACCATCTTATCAAAAACTTTTAAAGCTTCTGCTCCTTGTCCATGAACTCCATAACCTGCAATCATTGCGCTCCAAATAACAACATCCTTGTCCTTTATCCCTTCAAATAATCGGTTAGCAATGTCTATGCTACCACATTTTGAGTATAACTCTATGAGTGAAGCTCCAACAAAGATGTTATTCTTGAAGGCCCGTTTAATCACATAAGCATGGAGGCAAAGAGCTTGTTGAAGAATCCCTAATTCTGAACAAGCTGTAAGAAGCTTAACCATAGCAACAGCATCAGGTTGAGTTTCATCTGACAACATGTTGCGAAAAACCCCCATTGACTTGTATGCCATTCCGTTTTGAGCATACCCGCTTAACAATGCAGCCCAAGAAACCACATCTTTCTTGGGCATTCTTTTGAAAAGGTCGAAAGCTTCTTGAGGTGCTAAGCACTTCATGTACATATCAATCAGAGCTGTAGCTACTGTGATATCTAACTCGAAACATTTCCTAGTAGCAAGTTCATGGATCTTCTTACCCTCTTCTAAATTACCTGCCACTGCACATGCTTGTAATGCATTAACCACAGTTACTGAATTAGGTTCAATTCCCCTATCGATCATTTCATTGAAAAGATTTAATGCTTCTAGTATAGCCCCATTGTGAGTGTAACAGGCAATCATGGAGCTCCAAGAAATAACATCTTTCTCTGGCATTTTCCCGAACAAGCTAGCTGCAGTCTTGACAGAACCTGTCTTTGCGTAGAGATTCAACAATGAATTAACTAAAGATAAATCAGAGTTGAATCCGTTCCTAATAGCAACACCATGTACACAACTTCCAAGTCTAAAATTTGATAACTGAGCACAAGCAGAAACAGCACTAACAAGCGTCACCCGATCAGGATCAACGCGCCCCACCATCACCATTCGGAAAAAAAATTCCAATGCTTCTTCAGGATTGCCATTCTGCTCATATCCAGTAACCATAGAAGTCCACAAAAACACATCCGGTTGAGAAAATTCGTTGAACACTTTTAAAGCGTCACCCATTTGTCCACATTTAGAATACAACTCAATCAATGCAGAACCCACAAACATGTCCAATGCAACTTTCTCATGTTTCTTTACAAACCCGTGTACTATTTTGCCATATGCAAGTGCCCTTAACCCAGTACAGGCCTTCAGAGCAATGGGTATTGTGAAATTATCAGGCTTTTCATCGTTGCCTCTTGAATCAGAGATCATATTATGGAAGAGATATAATGTCTCTTCCCATTGATTCTCTCTGCAATAGCTCCTGAGTGTGGCGTTCCATAGATAGACGGTTCTGTTTGGTGTTTCGTCGAACACCTTGCGGGCATGACCAAGTGACTCGTATTTAGCATACAAAGCGTTGAGTTTTGTGGCAAAGAAGCTGTCATGGGCGAGGCCATCTTTAAGGGTCAGAGAGTGCAATTGTGCCACTGATTTCCCGCTGTTACATGCTTCAAACAGATTAACAAGTACTTCCCTCCCTTTCATACAGAAAAGAAAATATACTTGCAGACCCACAAAAACTCACAATCTGAAACGTACTTGCAGTTGACGTCTGGGCTCTGCCTAAGCAATTTGCAGGCGTTGGCTTATGATGGGTCTTAAGACCCAGATCGATTTTCGTTGGTAGTCCAAGTTGTTCAGCCCATAAGTCTCAGTGGGTCTAAGTCGAACCCAATGAAAGTCTTTTCTTAATCTTTTATAAAGGATTGCCGGCTATGCACGCGAGAGATGATTCTAATTATTGATGCATATATGGTTTATCAGCATGACATATGCAATTGACCGCCGCACTATGCAACAATCTTTGAGACCATAAAAACACAGACGTCTCAATTTTGTTCAGTCTCAAGTGGCACCTTCAACATCAATAATTGAAGTATAATTGATGTTGGGAAATATATTCATTTTAGATAAATACATAAAATAACATAAAATTGAGATATTTAGTCATATACTTATTCTTAGCATTACAATTATAAACAAATTCAAAAAATAATAGCTGATCCTATTGAATATAATTTTAATTATTAAATTACTTTGATGTCCTATTGAGTGTTTTGGGCTTTTTTTATGAGATTTTGGGGTTGAGTTTGTTTTAAGAAAGCAATGGCAATTTTGTAATTTAAAAGAAATTAAAAGTCTTTCTGTTATATTGTAAATGGGCTTTGGGTGTGTTTCTAACGTCTATTTTATATATAGTTTTTTTATAATTTGGATTTCTATATTTGGTATAATAGTGAATCTCTCGAATAAATTATGATTGATTTGATCCATTAGTGACGACACACCTAAGAAGTCTTTGATTGTTTTAGTACAAGTGATTACAGGAGCTAAAAAGCTCAATCAACTGAGATATACCTCAATGGCGAATCCTTTGAATTTTCTAATTGAAAAAGATGGATCCAACTTTCTTCTAACCCTTTCAAAACAGATATTAGCTTAGTGCTTCAAGACACAAATAAGATCTCAATTCTTAGCCATCAATCATTCTGTGGTCAGGCTCGTTGGACTTGGGCTCTCATTCTCTAGCCACCGCCCATTTTCTTATCAACAAATCAACAAATCAACAAATAGCTAGCTAGTAAAAAGTAGTATTAGACTAGAGTCTATTTAGCCTATACCTGTCTATTTGGTCCCAGCAATCGTATCCAACATTGGTTGGTCATTTTCAATTCCATGCAAAGGTTGCATTACCCAAAGTTTAAAAGGTAGGCAAAAACCTCACGTTATTTATTTTCTTTCCTTTTTTCGTCCTTGCCCACTCAAACATGAGTCAACCCAAACCGACCTATGAAATATCCTAATACATCACACCTATACATATTTGTTTTGTCACAACTTAATAATATAATGCTCCACCTGGCAGTGCCACGCTTTAAAATAATACACAAAACAAACAAGATAATATCAGAACCCCAAAAGTGATTTCCCTTTTCCTAATAGGTGGTTTACTCCTAATAATGCTCCTCGTCCTAACTTTGGCAACCAAAAAAACTAATGCATATAGTTTTTCAACAAAAACAAAAGCTTTACGGTACGTGGCAGAAAAGAGATTGAAGGTGCACGCGGAGAATCTGTAGTGCGAAACACACGAGTGCTGCGAAAAAACTGAAAGAGATGGAAGGAAGGACCAGACACCAGAGCATCCGATGATAAAAGGCGAAGCACACTTGGTTTTCTTTGTTTGGATATCCTTCTCTTCACTGTCTCTCTTTCTCTTTCTCTTCCCCTCAGATATAAAATAATTCATTTTCATTCATTTTATTATATCGTATCTATGGCCATGTGACATTGCAGCAAAAATTTTCTACGAACCCAACACACAGTTGGGCTTACTTCCTCTTCTGCTTCAAACTCAGAAGCCGATAACATTCCATATAAAATACATTGCAGCAAAGATTTTCTACGAACCCAACACACAGTTGGGCTTACTTCCTCTTCTGCTTCAAACTCAGAAGCCGATAACATTCCATATAAAATAGCAATCAACGTAAGCTAACCCATATCTTGTTACGCTTGTTCATTCGGGTTCTTCATTGTTTTTCTTGGAAAGATTTTGTCTTTCTTACATTGTTCTCTGTTCTGGTTGTCAAAGACTAATCTTGATGTATCCTTTTATTTTGGGTTTCTGTAAGAGAGAGGTTTAGGCTCAGAACGATGCCGTTGAATATAGTACATGATGGTAATGGATTGCCCCGAATCATACTCACGGAGCCAACGGGGTCTTCAGCAGAGGTTGGTTGGTTTCAATCAATTATTATGTTCTCTCTGTTTTGCTGCCACTGCACTCGTAATTTTCCTCGTTCATTTTGGCAGCTTATAGATATGATGGCCTAAAGTTGAAATTTTTATCATTGGTCCATGATATAGATGTAAAAGGGGTGTCAAATTAATGAACAAGAGTATTTTAATTGGGGTGTTTATCAGATATTCTCAGTTTTCTTCTCTGCAAAGTGTGGTGACCAACTGTTTGATATCAAATGTTTTGCAGGTGCTCCTGTATGGTGGGCAGGTTGTTTCGTGGAAGAACGAAAGACGAGAAGAACTGCTCTTTATGAGTAGCAAGGTATACAAACAACTCAAAATTTCTTCATAAATATGTTTGATTGAGACTGTTTCAATTTAAGGACTAAAGTAGGCCGTGTAAAAGTTAATTTCATAGCCAAAGCAACAACTCTAACCATTCCTTTTGTTCCTGTGCAGGCTATTTGGAAACCACCTAAAGCCATCAGGGGAGGCATACCTGTCTGCTTTCCACAGGTTGGACAGTGAGAAACTACTACAAGCATGTTAAGATTCTGTTCTTGTTCTGATTGAGCATTCTGTATACTGCTTCTTGCAGTTTGGAAATCTTGGTTCACTGGAGCAGCACGGATTCGCAAGGAACAGATTGTGGTCGCTAGATAATGACCCCTCACCTTTGCCTCCAACTAACAATCAGTCATCAGTGGATTTGATCTTGAAGTCTGCTGAAGAGGATCTGAAGACCTGGCCACGTAGGTATGCTCTCAGAACCTGATCATTTAATTAGATATGATTTACGCAGAAGTGCATCATCACTTGTCTAATCCTGTGAATCCTTTTTCTGGTGGATTGTTTAAGCTTTGAGTTGCGGCTTCGTATTTCTCTCAGTGCTGGCAAGCTCACTTTGATTCCCCGCATTAGAAATACAGATAGCAAGGCGTTCTCCTTTACCTTTGCTCTGAGCAACTACTTGTCTGTATCAGATATCAGGTGAGCCTTGTAAAAATAGAAGTTATTGCTTAACTACCTCTGTAGGTCTATGATTGAATTTTGCAAGGTTCCTCAAATGTACTGTTCATGTTATAAAAAAAACGTACTTGTATGTTGAGTCTGTATTTTATTAGTAGCTGAGCTTGGAAGAAATTGCATGTTATGCTTTTCAGAGAGGTTGCATGATGCTGTTTAATTTGCAGTGAAGTGCGTGTTGAGGGCTTGGAGACACTTGATTATTTCGACAATCTGGCGCGTAGAGAAAGATTCACGGAGCAGGCAGATGCTATTACCTTTGATGGCGAGGTACCACTTTTTTCTTTTGTTCTAATTCTAAAAGCAGCATATTTATGAATTGGTGGCAACTCATTAAGTTATGTGCTTCTGTTTTCTCAATTTTTTGTTCCTCTTCAGGTCAACAGAGTGTATTTGGACACCCCAACTAAGATAGCGATGATAGACCATGAGAAGAAGAGAACGTTTGTTCTGCGGAAGGATGGCATGCCAGATGCAGGTTCTTATGATCTTTGATTATTGTTATAAATTATTACTTTTCCGTTCTGTTGAAATGATAGTTTTGTCACTTGTATGATGGAAAATCGTGTGATTTGCAGTTGTCTGGAACCCTTGGGACAAAAAGACCAAGACTGTCCCTGATTTGGGGGTTGAGGACTACAAAACCATGTTATGTGTAGATTCTGCAGCCATCGAAACCCCAATTGTGTTGAAGCCTTTCGAAGAGTGGAAAGGCCGTCAAGAACTCTCTACTGTTTCATCAAGCTATTGCAGTGGGCAGTTGGATCCTCGCAAGGTGCTTCATGGCTTTCACTGACCAATTATGTGGAGTAAATGGAGGTCTTATTGTAATTTATGTAAGTTGCCTTATTTCATGGACCAGAAACATCCTCTTGGTTTGTTCATGTATTATCCTGGTTGAGGTACTTTAGGTTTTCTTGGAGCAAGACAGAACTAGCTGCATGTAAAATGTGAGAATATCATTGCAGGGTCTCATTGTCACAAATTGGCAACAGGAATTTTTTCCTTTATGTTGCCGCTGATGGTAAAGAATATGTGATTTGTATTAAAATGTTGCCAAGTGAATGAGATTCATGGTGCCGTAGTTTCTTTTTATTTCATTTATCTTTATTTTCCTCGCCAGGAACCATAAACAAAAACAAGAGGAATATGAACTCAAAAAACTTTAGTTCTATGAAAGAAACAAGAACACATTCTCTTTGCTTCCCTTATTGAGTAATTTCTCAGTCACTAGGTGGTAGACTTTTATATGTTTTTTGTGCTTAGAAGAGTGAAAGCAGGGACATTCCAAACTTCTCCTTGGCATCCTTGTCAAAGGGATCGTCTCCCAGATGCATATTCACATAGGCCCTGCACAAGAGTTCACTCTCAACGTTGCTGACCAACTCACCAATCACTGCACCCAAAAGCACTCAGCTTTTTGTTAATGTTGTGTGTCATCTCAAGTGTGTAGATATCAATTTTAATACATATAACAGTGTATTTGAATTATCACCTTTGGTTTGGAGAATGTTTCCCGGAAGCCGAGAAATCTCAATCACAGAACCAGAGGTTAGCTTAATGTCATCTGGTGCTTGTCCCATTACCCTATGAGCAACGGATTAAAACAGAGTTTGTGATAGCATTTACTGGTACCTGAGTAGTGGAAATGTAACTGTAGTGATAAGTAAGGGTTAGTACTCTACTTATTTGCGAGTGCCTCGTTCTTCTTGCCACCAGTAAGTTTCTTGATTGATGCTCCAAGACCTTCATCAAAATTCTTTCTTACCATGTTCATGGTGAGGCTGGAAAATACGATCACTAACCTGACCATCATCTCGACATCACTGTCAATCACCAACTGATACATTTCCTTTGTGGGTTTTGCTGGGGCCTTCCCAATTTTCAACTTTAGAAGTTCTCTCAGCTTCTCATTGTCTGCATAAATCCCTGCAAATTGGAGAATGGAAATGGAGAGTACATTTTGAATTGGAGCTATGTAAGTCTTTGAATTAAGAAATCATACCGAATCCATAAATCCTGATGCCCATGCCGAGCATGGATTTCTTCCTCAGACCAACACAACCCAACTGTTTCCCATCATCCAGTTTAAATGGGAAGGAGACCCCAGTCTTGGGCAAGTGCCACCTCCTCCTCCTGTCCGGTTGCTACCTTGCTCACACTGTTGGGCTCTTCAACAGCCTTCCCGCCATTCTCACACTTGCTGTTATCCTTCACGATGGACTCACCATTGGAGGACGTGGATTCAATGCCATTTACCTTGTCTATTTTAGGTTCAGTCTCAACCATCTCAGCCTTGGCAGTGACATCCCCAAGACCAACAATAGCTGCCATTCTTCAACTGAAAGAGTTGTACCTTGCACAAGAAGAAACTAAGAAGAGAGGGAGTTTCTTGGTTTGCAAATTTGTAGTGAATGTAGCCAGTACTCAGTAGGGCTGGCTTTATATAGCAAGTAACTGATAGTGTTGGGAAATCCCTCCTTAATGGAGGAAGGCTCATTGTTGGTAGTTGGTTAATTGGAGAATTAAAGGGTTTCATTTAATTCTTAAATCGTCATGGGAAAAATTTATTGCAGGTTGTTTGCTGGGAAGTGTATTTTAGTTCTTCTAGGCGTGTTTTTCATTTCAGTCCGCTCAAATGACTAAGGGTCATGCATATAAAGAGCTGTTTTGGCTTATTTTGAGGTAATGAAGAATTGTTCCTCCATCAGATTGAGCTTTGCAGCTGCTGTTCTGGCATAGCAGAACTACGTTAAATTTGTCTGTCTTTCATGATCTGCTTGTTTACTTATTGCTAATTGCTTGATCTTTTATTTTCTGCGCTTCCATTCCCATGTCCCAACAATTTTTTTCTCATTTTGAAAGGCATTGAATTTTGGTTCTATATCTCATTGTCTTGCGCTGGTTTTAACAACAGATAAATTGGACCAATCAGTCAACGTTTAACCAGAGGCTGGAACTTCCATTTTGAATTGTCTCCTTTTTGGTAATTCAACGTTTGCATTCCAAGAATTTGCACTCCAATCAGTCAACGTTTGCACTCCAAGAATTTGCAATGATCCAATTATCGATACTTATTTTGACATGTGGGCGCCTTATCGCTAAGTGGGTCCCTTTTTTTTTAATACAAATAGTATAGCTGCGCTGCTATATGCAGTTTTTTCTAATTTCTTTTTTAAAAATAGTATCGCCGGGCGGCTATACTCGGTTTTATTAATGATTCTAAAAAATATTACAGCCGCGCGGCTATACTTATTTTGACACGTGCACGTATGCGCTAGGAGGGTCCCATTTTTATATATATATAAATAGTATAGCCGGTCGGCTATACTCGGTTTTTTATTTTTTTTAAAAATAGTATAGCCGACCGGCTATACAGATTTTGACACGTGGCCGCCCACACGCTGGCTCTCTTTTCCGTATAGCCGCGCGGCTATACTCAGGTTTTCCTGATTTTTTAAAAAATTGTATAGCCGCTCGGCTATACCCGGTTTTATTAATGTTTCTTATAAATTAGTATCGCCGGTCGGCTATACCCAATTTTTTTGCTTTTTAAAAAAAATAGTATAGCCGAACGGCTATACTGTGTGTGTATATATATATATTGGGATCCTTTTTTTGTTTTAAATTTTTTCCCTGATTTTCATTTATCGATAAGAGTAATTTAGAGCATTATTCATTACTATTAGGCCAATACCTAAGTCTCTATTGTCTCCTTTTCAGTTTTTTACTTTTCCATAGTTATTTCTCGTATAAAGAATTTACCACTTTCAAATTTAATAATCTATTATACATGTACGTACATATTTTTCAATAATACATTCGTGTTCTGTACACGTCTTAAAGACTCGATAAAATTCACGCTTTTTTAAAAAGCAAACGTACAATACTCGTATTGTACATGTAAGTACATATTTTCCATGTTTAATACACATATTTTTTACAAAATTTTCAATGTTTAAATAAATTATATTAAAATATTATATTGTGGCCGAATTTTTAAGTTGTAATTTGCCAAAATTGTGCTGAATAAAACACGTACGTATTTTTTCCTGTTTAGTATTTTATAAATAATATAGCCGCGCGGCTACACTCAGTTTTTTAAATATAAATAGTTTAGCCACGCGGCTATACCTAGGTTTTTTATTGCTAATAACTTGGGATTGGCTGGATGAGATTGATGGAGAATCCGAACTTGGCTTTTTAATTCGGCCGGGCCTGTGACTGCCTTCACCTGATTTTTTAGGCCCATTAAACAGAGGCCTTTTTCTTTTTGGGTCAGAAAACACAGGCCTTGACTTGTTGAATCTTCCTTTATGAGCCCAGAAGAAAGCGCGAAACCATAATTTGCAGAACAAGGGTTTTTGCGAAAGAAGGAGAAGAAACGAGGAAGAAGGGTTTGAGGCGCAACATAAGCAATGAATGATAATGAATCAAGCAAAAAACGGAAAAGGGCGAGGCCTCGCCACAGAGCTCAGAATGAAAAGCTTAAGCTTTCTAGCGAAAAGGAAAGTGCTTTCGCCGCTGAAAGAATCGATGAAGACAAAGAAGAAAGTACAAAAGCTTCTGCTTCTGCTAAGCGCATAAAATCACAGGGACAGCTCTCAATTTCCTCTAGCTTTCTCGCCAAGGTCTGTATCTTTACTAAAAGGAATTAAATTGTGAAAATAATTTTTATTATGTGTTTTATATTCTATTTAGTTTCTTTGATGTTAATGGGAAATGATAAATTATTGAGTGGAGTGGTGGGTTTGGTATGCAGATGAAAGCGAAGCTGTCAGGAGGGCATTTCAGGATGATCAACGAGAAGCTCTACACTTGCACGTAAATTAATACTCCCTACTTGTCTGGTCCTTTTTATCTTTAGAATTCTGATTTGAAGCCTTGTCTACTGAACCCAAATAGTTGCTTAGCTCAGTTTAGTAGATGTCTCATCGTTCATTATGATTTCTAACTTTTATAACCATTGTCATTGTTTTTCAGCAAATTAACGAAACATAAGGCTGTGATTAGATTGTCGAATGCTATCAAAATTTCACATTGAGCGTCTCTTTATATAAATATATATTTTAGTGTATCCCACATTTCTTAGATCAATGAATTTTTGGCTTAATTCCATGTATGAAAAAATTTCACCTTTGCAGACTTCAATATAATTTGAACAAAACATGATGTTATTTTCCCTATTTTTAGTGGAAAAGAGGCGCTTGAGTATTTCAATGACGATCCAACATTGTTTGATACAGTAAGATTTCTTCTAAATAAAGAACTCATTTTGAGCTTCTGTCTTCCTTCTGGGTTTCATACTTTTATTTTCAACCACCACATTTACTGTGCATTCTCTCATATATGTGATGATGAAGTGTGCCTAAAGATTTCACGTACTTATCTACTTGCTTGGCCAGTACCATACAGGATATCAAGAGCAAATGTCACATTGGCCTGAGCTTCCAGTTAATATAATCATAAAATGGCTAAAAGATCACAGTCCTTCTCTGGTCGTGGCTGATTTTGGATGTGGTGAGAGTTTAATTGTCTCTATTTTCACTGTTACAGTGAAGTTTACTGATTGTTTATTTAGTGTCACATGTCAACCCTTTGTAGACATTCATTCGGTGGCTACATTTAGTAATTTTTTGCATTGTATTCCAGGGGATGCACGCCTTGCAAAAAATGTGAAGAATAAAGTCTTCTCCTTTGATCTCATCTCCAAGGATCCTTCAGTAATTTCCTGTGACATGTCGAATGTATGTGCTTTCTTTTGAGCTTTAAGTTGAGCGATACGGTTTTTATACTTTTGCATTTTCTGGCTCCTAAACTATTTGATGACAGTATTTCTAGGGTCAAAACAACCAAGCTGCGTTTTTTTAATATCTAAGTGAAATTATAGTTTAAACTTATCCATCAATTACATGCAGACTCCACTTGGCTCTTCATCTGTAGATGTTGCTGTCTTCTGCCTTTCATTGATGGGGACTAATTTCCCAAGTTACATCCGTGAAGCACACAGAATTCTTAAGCCACGGTCTGCTGCGCACTATATTCTTTTGAACTTTTGATTCTCTTGTCCTACTGATATTCTGGCCCAACTGATTGATTGTTTTCCATAGTGGTTGGCTTTTGATAGCAGAAGTGAAGAGCAGATTTGATTCAACAACTGGAGGAGCTGACCCAAAGACATTTACAAAAGCCATCTGTGATCTAGGATTGACCTCTGTGTCAAAGGTATCCTTTTATGTTCCTCTCATTCGGATCAGTCAATAAATTTTGTTTCTGCTAATCAATGTGTATTGTTTGCAGGATTTCTCAAACAAGATGTTTATATTGTTTTACTTCAAGAAAAAGGTTAGATTTTGGTAGAACAAATGAAGTCCTACAATTTGTACCTCAATTATATGTTTCTAAATAAGTCCCATAAGGTTGAATTTTTATTAGCAATCCATACATCTTTTCTTCTCTAGGAGGAGCAAAGTTCAAAGAAAAAGGAGGTTGAGTGGCCTGAGCTGAAACCTTGTTTATATAAGCGCCGCTGAGATGGAAGGCTATATGTTTGTGCTAAGTCAGTTCATGGTCCTTGTTGCATACTTTTTTGGTTGAAGATGAAGTTGTAAACCAGTTGGCATGTACTGTAGAATTTGACGATTCTTTTAGCCATCTTTAGTTTCTAAGAGCTGATCAAGATACTGCTATTTGTTTGATTTTGTTTTTTTTCCTTTCAACAATTCTGTAATAGAGGTTACCACAAAACCTCTTTGAAGACGATGTCACATAGTCATGTATTTGCAACTCTCTGTCAACACTCAGCCGATACTCTCTCTGTTTCCTTGGTTTAAGATGTTCTGTTCCCTTGCTTTGCCCTTTTAAGATAGATAATACAACCAAGTCAAATGCTTCCTATTTGCATTTAGGTAATTTTTTGTGATATGTGCTTTCATTTCTACATATCGCTTACAGGTCTATATGATGATGACAATCATGATGTCAATGTTGAAAATAAATTCAGTTTATTTTCTTCATTTTAAAAATATTGATATATTTTTTAAAATTTTGGTTATTTTATAAAAGGCGTGATGATGCCATTATTGTACATCGATTTTTTTATTTATTACATTTGGATGTAAGAAACCCTGGGTTTCAATTCTGGTTGCCAAGCAGGGGGAAGGTGGAGGGACACGACCACTGTGTTAATCCTACTCGACATTGTACATCGATTTTAGATTTGTTCAAGTTTCATAAACTTTTCATCGTAATAATGATGAAACGGAGAGCTCGAAAAAATCTTTGCTATTGTGGCCGTGGCACAATACGATTCAATATGATATGATTGTTGGGACCAAAAAATTCACGTCTATTGCCTTAACTTATTAACCCTAAACCCATCATATTGTCGTCTTCAAGTTTCAGAAACGCCAAAATAAATATTACTCTCCAATAAGACATTGGTAAGCCTTAAATTATTGTGATGAGTTTTGGCTAGTAGCTACCAAAGAAAGGGTACTTTCTAGAAGCAGTAGTATTATTATATTGTATTATTTCCTAATCATTCTTAATCCTCAAATCAAATGGCATGCACACGAAAACCTTCATCAACTTTATTTACTTTACTTGCATGTTGACGATATATTAATCATTCAATGAATTAACATAATCTTCTTTCCTTCACTCGCATCTCTTTCATCTTGATTCATTCGTAGTGTATATATAATTTTTTATTATTATTATTTCTTTTAAAAAAGAAGAAAAAAGATGAAGAAAAGGAAGCACACTATTCTCCTCCGACAGAGACATAAGTTTATCTCTGGATCCAGAAGACAGGACGGTAAATTCCATACGCGGAGAAGACTAATAAATTAATCTCAACCCTACTTACCTGCCATCCATCCACCATCACCTTCTTCACCAAACTTCCAAATCTCAACCACAACCTCAACCTGGGTCTCTCAGTTTCAGCCCTTCTCTCCTCTCCTCTCCTCTGCTCTAAGTCTATTTGCTTTGCTACTTTGCCATACTTGTTTCTTTGCCAGTTTCCCAATTCCCCAAAATAATAAATATAATCCCCTCTACTGACAGAGCTCCCATCAATCTTCATTTTTAAATTCTTGGGTTGTTGGTGGGTGCCTCTGGGTTTTTATTCTTTGCCTCCCAAACAAAGGCAGGCATTAGATTTTGTTGGATTGGATCTACAAGCGTGATTTTGGGGATGGGTCTGTTTTCTGAAACCTGCTATTATGGCCTATCCCTACACAACAGAACCAAGCATGTCCTTTTATTATAGTTTTATCATCTAGCTCTCTTTATCTTTCTCCCTCTTCAATCAAAGAAAGTATACTTATTTTAGTACTTTTTGTTTTTTTCCATTTTTAAGCTGACCAATGCTTCCACCTTTGCTTCAAATGTAGGAGACAAACAGAAAAAAAAGGGTATGCTTTGTTTTGGTTAGTCAGTATATGCAGCTAGTTGGTTCAGCTCTTGTTTCAAAAATTTAGAGAGAAAATATGGGATCTGGTAATGGGGTTTATTCAGTTGGGGATTTCAATTTGGATGCCAAGTGGCTGATCGATCCAAAGCACCTTTTTGTTGGGCCGAGGATTGGGGAGGGCGCGCATGCCAAAGTGTACGAAGGAAAGTAAGTCAACCTCAGTACTAGTTTGTGTTTGTGTCTAGATTCTCATCTTCCAAGTTCAGCTCAGCCATTTATTATTTAGTATATGAATTTTCTTTTTGGCTCACAAACACAAAGTTTAGATCCTGAGCAAATATAAAATGCAAAATTGATTGGAGTTCAAAAGTTATATGATACCCCAACCAACGGGTCCACCACCACCACTGAGTGCAATTGATCGGCCTGCTCAAATTCATAAACCCAAATGTTTCTCCAATTCCCAAAGCTCAGTTCTACGGTTGTACCTCTTCTCACTTCTGTTTTGTGGGATGGGGTAGTGGGGTTAGAACATAATTAAAGATCAAAACTTTGCATTCTCATCTTTCTCAATCCCAGCTTTAGTGTCCTGCAATTACGGGATATTTGTCAAGTGTTCGAAAAATCGGCCTAGGCGGCCGCCTAGGCACTAGGCAGAAGGAAACCGCCACAATTTACCCCTAATCGTTGGGTAGGCGCCTAGGCCGCCCAGGCGGG